ATGTAACAAAATTACTTTAGCATGTTTTCTGGTCATTTTTTTTATCAATGCGTGATTTTAATTAGTGATTTGAATATGGTCTATTCAGCACATCAAATAATTTATACATTTTGAAACCAGAATATACGGTTCTCTCGCCACTTAAGACGATGTATTGGTTCTACTGACGCTACTAAACTCCAGTGCAGTGTTTGTGTGATACCAAAATCTCGGTAAGTGCACCTTAGTGATTCGATGAATGTCTTCCCCGTACGTTGTCATTGCGAACTGATATATGTTCGAGCAAAATGGAAGGACGTTTTTGTTGTGCGGTTCGAAAAAAACTCAGTTTATTATATTTATTGATACACAGCGTAGTGTTCTTAAGTCTATCCTAATTTTTACACTAACAATTAGATAGAGTGGAAGAGATTATAGACATACATATCATAAATCCCCGAAGTATGACAAAATTTCTTTTGTGTCTTTGTGTCTTTTGTGTTTGTTTTACCTCTGTTACTGCTTATGTTTTGGAATTATTTAATACTAATAATATGAGTTGTGTTTTCGTATTTCCACAGCTAAATGCCGTCTGTTCAGATAAGTTGCAACATTAACTTGAATAAGAGAGACTTTGACCAAAAATTTATATTTTAGCAAATACAGAAAATCAATGCACGACTGCCCTATAGTCCACCTGGTGGTGTGCATATGAACCTTTTTAATCCGAAATGCAGCTCGAACAAAAACTCTGTAAATAGATTTGTTTATTTTAATCGATTTACCTGAGTTTTTAATTCAAATAAATTTGATTACTTGAACAATTTTTTCATATCGATTCAAATCTTTTAAAAATGTTTCATTAGAAATTCTCTATTTTGGTAACAAAGGTAAAATTTTATTTTTGATTGGTTTTAAATGGCAACTTCTGAAGATTTTTTTCATTCACATCGGGAGAAAATTCGTTCACTTTTAGTAGTCCTTCACCAAGAAAATGACGATTTAATGTTTTTCTACACCGAAGGTGTAAGACTACAATATGAACTGAATTCAGAAGTTGAGAAACTAGAAAATAATATTAAACAATTGTTGAGCGGAAGTCAGTATTTGAAATCTTATGCAGCAATAGCTCGGGCTTCAGAAGCAATTAAACATGTGAAAAAATATTATCGCCATCAAATGGAGTGCACGGATAGCGCTATTGATTTCATAGTTAGGAGTGCACAAAAGGACTTCTCTGAACTTTTAAAAGAAAAAATAAATTTAAAAGGTAACTTTGAGGAAACAGTTAAATATTTGAAAAAATTCCTCAGGGATGAGGGGTATCCTTATAAGAAAAGTGTCAGTTCCAGACTATGTGTTCTACAAAAAACATACATTGAAGATGTGTGTTTAATCAATAGAAGGGAAAATATATTGAGAACATTGTTTCAAGAGTTGTATTATCGTGGTTTGGATGGTGTAAATAAGGATGGTCTACTTACAAATGCCGAATGGTATCAGACACGTAAGTTTTAAATTTAAAATTTTGTTTAAAAGTGTATGACTTAAAAAGCAAATAAATATTTTAATTAGCCTTTAGTGAAGAAAACTTCGAATACGATGATGAACAAGAAAGTGCAACTCATGGAGGAATCACATTACCAAAGATGACTGACCCAGATGAAATTCTTACTGACCTCTGCTATTTATTTGATGAGAAAAGTAAGTTTCACATTGCCAAACAAACCAGCAAGAGACAATACGTAAGTATCTGTCGTTATATGTACAAGTATTCGGATAATTCAAGCGATATTTCGAGCGAGGATTCGAGACGCAATTCTAGTGATATTGATGCTTCAGACGAGGACTCGGATTATTTTAAGCATCCGAAGTAGTTAAATTTCTCGTTTTTATTAATTAAATATTTTAATGTGTTATTACTTTGTTCAGAATTAAACGCTTAGTTAAGTAAGTTATGTATTTTAAATAATTATCAAATATCTTAAGTAAATAATTAATATGCTATTCACGATAATCGAAGTGTTTGAGTGTTTAAGGGTTTGATTAAACAAATGGGAATCTATTTTAATAGTACAACTGAGATATTGGAACTGAGATATTACATATAATAACCATCGAGTAAATTGTTATCTTCGTATTGAGTCAAGCATTGACTATTTTAATAAACTAATAGTTTTTACAACAGCATTTAGTAAGCGGGTCTTCACAGCCCACATACTGATAACTATTGCTTCCGCTAAAAAGTCTTATAAGATCATAAAAAAAGAGTAGACGATATTGCCGAAGAACCTGAAGAATTTAACGACTTGATACGTATAATAATAGTTAAGTTGGATAAGGCTAAGAACAACCTCAGTATTTTTTATATTTATTGAAAGTTTTGTGCAAAAAACCCATCATCAATTGCAATCATAAAAGATCCATT